GCTGCTGCAGAGTTAGTGCATCAGAGAAAACCAAGAAGAAGCGCTGCTGTGCTGTAGCCTCACATTTTTGGCATGTCTAGAACATCGGTTCTCAATTCCAGTCCTCGCGTACCCCCGCTCTGTACATTTTGTATGTTTCTCTTATTGCTTCATACGTTTGTTATATTTGACTGTAAGTGCCCTGCGAAGTGGACATTACCGGATATTCCTCCATGATTCCAGTTTGAAGGGAGCATATATGTTCCGTACAAAGGGCATTTAAGTGTGCGAGACGTGAATTTAAATTGTATTTATTTACAGAGGTATATTATGTCCCAATTCACGCTTCTCTAGTAAGTTTCGTTTGTGTGTGAAGACGCCGCAGGCAGCGGCGTAGCGCAAATCTGTAAATGAATATTCCGAAGAGAAGTAAACTTCAACGGATTTCCCCTGCTCAGGGAGTAGGGAGCAATGGACACTGTGTAGGGACCATGTCAATCGGAACACAGTTCATGCACTGAGCTCACTTCTAAAGCGATGATCTGAATCAGGTGTGTTAACAAAGAGACGTGCAAAACATGCAGAGCAGGGGTACGCGAGGACTTCCGAAAGCGGATGATGTCAGGAAACAGTGGTTGCAATTAATTTTTTAACTCTGTTCCTGAGCATTATAACCCCAATTTGCTATTGTGTGCTGCGCATTTGACTGAGGACAGCTTCCACAACACGAGTGAGTACAGTGCCGGATTCGCCCAAAAGGTTTTGTTGAAAGACGGAGCAAGGGGGTGTGGCAGTACTGAAACACCGTCTAAGCTGTTCACCAATCACAACGCACTGGGACAGCTAACCAATCACAACCCATTTTGTTTTTCCGGAAGGCGGCCCTTCATCAAAGCCGGAACTAATCGAGCCGTTTGTGCCAGGATGGGGAGAAAGGTATTTTAATAATGTAAATTATGTGAAAAATAATGTGTTTTTCGAACCACCAAGCATGAGAGCATGTTCTAGTACACCTCCAAAACAAAATCAAGACTTTGTAAAAGAGCATAATAGGACCCTTTTAACTATATCATGTTATGAATAAACTAAACATTTTGAATTTTTACCTCAGTGTGTTTCTTCTGAGTTTGTGTGTGCGGTCACGCTCATTTGTTCTGAAGTCTCGAGACAAACAGAGTGAGCCTCAGCGCGAGCTTGTATTCTGCTAACTTACTGCAATTCTCTCTGATGACGCAGTAACTTACTGCGGGGAAGAAAAACATCTTCGGTCTGTCCAATGATTGTAAACAGTCATTAGGTCCATCAGACTGAAGATATTTTAGCGGTAATGTGACCAAAAATATTTAAGACCCATCGAATCCGAACTTAAGACATTTTAAGGCCTTATATTAGGAAAATGTTATTGAAGACATTTTAAGACTTTTTAAGGACCAGCGGACACCCTGTTAAAGCGCTGTCAGTGTATTCCTCATAAGCAGTGGCGAGGATGTTGAATGCAGATCTCTTACCATAGGCATTGTACATTTTAGGACCCAAATCTGGCCGAACGAAGAAGTTTGGAAGACGAGAGGCCAAGTTGAGACGGCCATCTCTCTTAGTGTACTCTGGCAGAGGAAGGTTCTCCATAAGATCATCAAACCTGCAAACAGGAGAACATAAGCAAGCTAATTCATAAAAACTGGCTGCTCCCAAGCGAAGATGCCATAGGTAGTGTTCGACCGATATGTTGGCAAGGCCAATATAGAAGCTTTTTTAATTATCAGCATTGGCCAATCATTTTTTTCTGTTTGGCCAATATGTCAGAAATGGAAACTTTTATCTCGTCAGTGCACAGAACTTTTATTTTGACAATGCTGAATGCACAGAGCTCCCATAGTCCATCTTCATCATTTTACAGCAGTTTGTTTGTGTTTAATGCCATTCCAGCTTCTGTGGCTATTTTCATGGTGAGAAATATTATGGCTGAATTATAATCATGTTATTTTTGTTAAAAACTCCAAAACGTATTTGGCTTAACTCTGTGGAAAAACCTCTTCAAACGAGTTAAATGAATAAAAATAAGTTCTCAAAGAGTTCAAACCAGCACACACTAATAAAACATGCTTAATGGATTAAGGGATTCCATTATTTTACGGTCTCTGTATACCAGGTTTAATAAATTATGACACAGAGCTTTTAAACAAAATTGGTTAAGAGTATATGAAAATGTGGCTTTTCTATTGTTAGTGATAAAGGCAAACAGTGTAATGCTTCCTCATCTACTATCAGCATTCAGCAAATATGAATTTCATGATGTGATATATCCAGTTTGCTGCTATGCTGTATTCATGTAATATTCATTGTGTAACGTATGTAAAACCAGAGCTAAATAGTGTTATACACAACATACCGTAACTAAAAAGGCATTGCGATCAGCGTTGGGGAAAGTTATTTTTAAAAGTAACGCATTGCAAAATTGCATTACTCCATAAAGGAACTAATTATGTTACTTTTATGGAAAGTAATGCATTACATTTATTGTAATGCATTTTTGTCACCTGGGCTGGGCTTGCTTGTGTTTTTTAATAAGCTAAAAAACTATTTTTGGAAACTATAATCGTCCTTTCACTCCAAAAGTGAAATGAATAAGCATCAGGCTGAGGAGGAAAGTGCCTCTTCCTCTGCACCTCATTCCCAATTTATCTCAACACAGGGAAAAGAGAGCTGTCAGTCAATAAATAGAAAAACAAAGTAACTTAAGTTACTTGTTTGAAAAAAGTTACTCCGATATTTTCTTGTAAATGTAAAATTAATATGTTACTTTACTAGTTACTTGTAAAAAAAAAAAAAAAAAAAAGTAATCTGTTGCTCTGAGTGACACTTTTAGCACCGTTACACAGGTTCCCCTCACAACATGAGATGCTCTGAACATCAGGGACTGATGTTGTGGCATTACAAATGGCTTCAGAGACACAGCCTTTTAGAACCATTGACTTTCCTCCGAAACTCCCTGATGAAAAGAAAGGTTAGTCTAAGCGTTCCTGGTATATATGATCTGTTTCAAATGCTTAAACATAAGAGAGATAAAAAAAAAAAAAAAATAAATTTTTTTTTTTTAGTTTTTTTTAAAAAAAAAAAAAAAAAAAAATAATCTGTTAAAAAAAAAAAAAAAAAAACCCCAACACTGATTGTAGTGTAATGGAAACTTATATCTCGTCAGTGCACAGAACTTTTATTTTGACAAAAAATATTAGGGTAATATAATATAATTATTACGTTTTGAATATGGATATTTTTCTTACAAAAACGCATCGATTCGCTACAGGAGGCCTTTGTTCACCACCCGGAGCCATGTGAGACACCTTTTTTTTTATGGAAGGGTGCTTTTTATTTCACGTCTTTTGGACAGAAGCAATGCAACACCCGCTGAGTGCAACGATAGAGCTTGAAAGATCTAAGACAATTTTTAATATAACTCCGACTGGATTCGTCTGAAAGAAGAAAGTCTACACCTAGGATGCATCGGGGGTGAGTAAAACGCAGCCTAATTTTCATTTTTGGGTGAACTAACCCTTTAAGAATGACAGAAAGCCATATTTCCTTAGTTGCGTCAATGTGCAACAGCAGGACAGTGTGTGTTCAGCGCTCTGCTTCAGATCCCTGCATGAACATTGGCCTGCCAAACTTTATATACATTTTGATAACTTTATTCAATTTCTGTATTATCTCTTAATTGAATGCTACCGTTAAAAGACCTACTTTACCTAAAAACAGTTTTCATTTGTGTCTCTGTTTTGTATTTGTTCTTTTGTTTGTTACTTGGATCTATGTTCTTACTGCTATTAACAAAGATAAAATAACAACAAAATTACTATATCATTATAGAAATTGTTCTCGTGAAATAAAATCACTCATATTGTAAAATAAGATTCTGGTCATATTTCTCACTCCTAGCTCATGCCCAAGTCAAATGAATGCGATTTATTTCGTGACACGTGACATTTTTCACCATCTGAGTTTGACAGGTAATTGAGGTTAATAATAACCATCTAATTTGGCTAAATTACCAATGTTTCAAAGATCTATATTTATCGGCTGTATCATAGACTGGTAGTTGCTCACCACAGGCCTTTGTGGTGGGAGTGACATATGATTTTGTTTTTATTATTTTTAAAATAAAAAAAATTAGTAGATAAAACAATAATCTACGAATTCCATGTGCATCATTTATTATTGAATTACTGTTCCTGTTGTGTTATCGGTTCAGTAGTAGTATCGAGAGACTAGTCAGGTATTGTATCGAAGTCAAATTTTGGTACTGTGACAACACTAGCGTCAACTTGTAGAAACTTACCAGGTTGCAGCGTTTCTTTATTTGTGAAAAATACTATAATAGAATTACAGAAAGAAGTTGGCTTCTAAAAAAATCTTTACAGATGTATTTTTTATTAAGATCAATTTTTTTTTATATTTATTCATTTTCTAATGACAATCTAGTAAATATTATGCATTTATATTATACATTTAATTTAAGCAACTGTTATATATGTGTTTTTTACACATATCTTTAAATTAAACAGTGTGCTATGATATATATTGATATATTGGCTTCTTACTGCCCAACGGCCACCATGCACTCCAAAATACCGGCATCAGCAATAAAAAAAAAATCCACATCAGTCGACCACCAGGTATGGCACCAAATAACATGTCAGCAAACCTACCGAGTGGGCATCATGTCTCTGAAATCTTCTCCAGGAGGCCAGTCTTTAAGTTTTAGTACCATAGGTTGGCCATCTCCACCCTTCAACCGCTCTAGAGAACAGAGCAGAATATAATAGACCACCAGGTTAAAGTGGTTTCATAGTTCATGACAATTAAAGACGTTAATAATCAAATCAACAATAAAAAGATCCAGGCTTGCTCAGATGTACTCACTGGAAATGACCTGGAAGCCATCCCAGAAGTTTCGGACTTTGACATCAGAGATAATGGCGCAGTTCCTACAGTTGACCAGGTCCACATCCTGGTCTCCAAACTCCTTGCTGAAGGACTCTGGCTTCCACAAGTTACCCTTCAGCTTTTTGTGTATGCCTGAGACCAGCACAGGCTAAACAAGAAAAGGTTATTAGCATCAGCAGAATGTAAATGATCAAATAAATGCGCATCCATTTGATATTCACCGCTCACCTGTCCTTGTTTCCAGCACTCTCTGAAGATCTTCCAGTTGTTGGTGTTGCTGGGGTCCTGCAGGCAGAGCAAACGGCCATCACACAGCCACGAGTGTGAAGTGTGGGGGTCTAATACACTGAGACCCATCAAGCCCTCTCTGCGAGGAGCAGTCCCCGACTCGCCGCCTTCTGCTGACCCTGACGCACGTCGACCCTCTGCCTTCTTAGTCTCCACCACTGATGCAATTATATGATCCAGGAAGTTAGGAAGGCCTCCCTTCATTTTATCAGCCTGCTTAAGAGAGATAGAACAAAAATATATAAATAAAAACATTAAGAACATTTATTTTCTTATGTCTATGTCTCAACAACACTGACATTACTGTTCAAAATGTTGTCATCAGTAAGAATTTAAGAAATTAATACATTTATTCTGCAAGGGCGCATTACATAGATCAAAATTGGTAATAAAGACATTTGTAATGTTCCATTTAAAATAAACGCTGTTCTTTTGAACTTTCTATCTAGAAGAAGAATCCTGAAAAATGTATCATGGAAGCAGCACAACTGTTTTCAACACTGATAATAAGAAATGTTTCTCAAAGCATACAGATAAAGTTAAAGCACTGTCACGTACACCAGCAGTGGAGAACACTGAAGGGAAAGGAACACCTCCTTCGGCGGGACCCTGCGGAAGCTTCCCAGGGCCAGAGTTCAGCAGATCCCGGAGGCTAGTGCCCTCTGCTTTGGGTTGGGAAGGGCCAGCGCCAAGCAGCAGACTATTGAAGAGCTTGGGACTGGACCCTGAGGGTTTGGAAAGGGTGCCGAAGGAATCCAGACCAAATGGAGCACGAGAGTCACGACCCATCATGGAGCGCAGAGACTCTGAGACAAAACAAGAGGAAGAACCTGAGCACATTGTGTCTGCCAAGAGCCCTTGCAAAGATTTACCAAACTCAAGATTTACCAGAAAACGTTAAGTAGAGTGGTTCTAAAACATTGTTAACAGAACAAGATTTAGTCACATGTTTGTTCTTACAGGGTTGCAGACAACAAGGGGAAAAACAATGCCAAAGGCAAATAACAAAATGTTGCTGATGCCATATTAATCATGGGTAGCAAGATAAATAAGATCAAACTATATGCTGTTTTACTGCAAATTCATGCTACTTTTAATTAAAGGGGTCATATGATGCGATTTCAATTTTTCCTTTCTCTTTGGAGTGTTACAAGCTCTTGGAGCATAAAGAAGATCTGTAAAGTTGCAAAGACTAAAGTCTCAAATCCAAAGAGATATTCTTTATAAAAGTTAAGAGTCAACCACGCCTACCTAAAACAGCTCGTTCTAACACACGCAAGTACATGTCTACATCACTATGTGGGAAGATTTGCATAACGCCGCCCAAATGTTCACGCAAAGAAAGAAGGCATAACTTTTATTCTCGCTGTAGTATTGTTGTTGCCTCATCCATTTGATATTCACAGCTCACCTGTCCTTGTTTCCAGCACTCTATGAAGATCTTCCATGTTGTGAAGGCGCTGTGTGTTTCGTTATGAAAGTTAAACTACTTTGTTTGGTCTTCCAAAAGAGGACGATATCTGCTTCGTCATGCCTGGAGATGATCCGTGATGGTCGCTGAGGAAATACATCAACTTTGCACTGTGGATCGCCGGATCGGCTTTCACCGTGGACGTAGCGGAGTCCAGCCCGGAGTCGTCACATGTCCTTCCGGATGCTCCTTGTCGAAATCGCCGGCCGCGCCGTTCTCAAGCCCACCCACCTATGCTCACTCTAATCTTCCCGCTGTTCCTCACGCTAGCCCAGTGACACTGTTTCATTGTGAAAGCAAAACTACTTTGTTTGGTCTTCCAAAAATGGACACGACTAGAAATCTTTCTTTAAATTTCTTTTGAATGCATTTTTATTATTTTAATTTTTTTTTACCTGATTTATGCATTCTTTGTATTATATTTTTTATTATTATTTACATCTTTGTTATGCATTCCATGTATACAATTTTGTTTTTTTATTAACTATAAAATGGGTTTCACGTTACATTATGGTATTTTTCATCTGTTTCTCTGAAGAACTTTGTTCTTAATGTAAATTTAACAGTAAAGCACTTTGAGCTGCATTTCTTCTATATGAATGCTGTTCTACACATAAATTTGTTTATTATTATTATTATAACAGTTTATAAAAATAATAATAATTACCAAAATAATAAATACAATAATAAACATATCTCTGCTCAAATGTACAAAATAATATATACTACAGGGCTGTCAAATAAAAATTTTAATATTTGTCGAATTTAAAATAAAAATCCACATTCGAATGCAAAAATGTTTTATTCAAATTTTAGGTGTGTGCCAGGCAACGTTATCAGTGGCACACGAGATGCGATGATAAGCTGCATTGTTCATTCAAAATATTGCGGAAAAAGAGAACATCAATGTGGAGAAGATCTTGTTTACGGCAAAACCGTTCACACAGAACATATTTATCGCATTTTCTATAGGGACATCTATCAACATTGCACTCGCGTCTCGCACAAGAGAGCCGCATGTTCAGAAACCCCACGTAAAATTAATGCAAGTTCAACTTTTAAAAAAAACATGTCTCGAGACAAAAAATTAGGCCTACTCTTTGTGATTGGTTTTCAGTCCTTTATAATAAACTATACATACGTACACAATGCTGTTTTGTTTCTAATTGTTGAAGCAACTTAAGTATGTTTGGTTTTAAATATCATTATTTTAAACATAATGCACGTTTTTTCAAAGATAGTCGTGTTATTTTATTGCTTTGAATAAACGTGCATTAGTAATATTTTGAACGATTCGCCCTCTTGTGGCCTCAGGAGAGAAGCCAGAAACGTTTTCCCCCTCTAACTGAAATTAGGCCATTTAAATTAGAATATAATTCGAAAAATTTTATCATATTTAAGTACAAAATTTGAATTTAGTTTTTTGACAGCCCTAATGTTAGGGCTGTCAAAAAACTAAATTCAAATTTTGTTGTTCAAAAATTTGAAATTTGAAATTTGAATTTGAAATTCAAACTAATGCACGACTATCTTTGAAAAAACGTGCATTATGTTTAAAATAATGATATTTAAAACCAAACATACTTAAGTTGCTTCAACAATTAGAAACAAAACAGCATTGTGTACGTATGTATAGTTTATTATAAAGGACTGAAAACCAATCACAAAGAGTAGGCCTACTTTTTTGTCTTCAGGACCTTGAATTAACATTTGACCAAAATGATCATGGACTGTTATATATATATTATTTTTATATAGTATGTACTATATAAAAATAATATATATATAACAGTCCATGATCATTTTGGTCAAATGTTAATTCAAGGTCCTGAAGATAAACCAGTTGAGAACCACTGTTATTAAGCACCTCCACATGTGCCATCCACTAACTGTTCACCGCTCTAAACTTATCTAGTGTTACACACTAGAAGCGATTGTTATTATTCGTGCGAGTAGATACAAAGTCAATGCAAAGACACGAATAGAGGCAAATTTGTGCCGTGCGACGCGAATGACGCAAAATGTGTGACGCGTTTACCACGAATGCACGATATTTGCCTCAATCGTGTCTTTCGTGCAAGTTAAAAAATTTCAACTCGAGCGGAAAATTTGCATGCCAATCAGCAAAGAGCTTCTTGACACGTCCAGTTGAATCAGACAATGGAAGAGAGCATTATTGTAGCCGTCTGTCATTATATAGGTCTGGAGCATAGAAAACAATTAAAATCAGTTGTAGTGGTACAGAGATGCTGCTATCAATAATAAAAATAATAGTACCGTAATATCAGTGTATATATACAGTAGTAAAATGTAACACACATTTAAAGGTGCAATAGGTGATTGTCTTCAGAAACATTTTTTGTTATGCTGGTTGAAAGTCTCTTCACATCCCGATAGCAATCATTAAGTTAAGTGGTCTAAATGTATTTATATATTCTGTGGAAGGCGTAGGACCAAGAAGTAGGACGAAGAAATGTTCGTCCAATCAAAATGCTGGATCCGAGCGTTGGACGTTCGTTTTCAGTGCTATCAGGCTAAAGTTAGCATTTTCCAATATCTCCAACTGCACCTTTAATGCAGGATCCTAACATTACTCATCCTCCTCTGGATGGTGCTGTGAAACCAGACACGTCGGCGTTTGGCTTTCCATCGTATTTGGGACTTTTTGACAACAGGTACAAAACAGCGATTGTAGTTATCTCCACCATGGTTGATCGCGCTGTTTTTATTTGCGCGAGTGACACGAGAAACATCCCGCGAGTAATCTAGAGCGAGTAACGTGATGCGCATATTCGCTTCGCGTCTGGTGTGAACACATCATTAGTCTCACCTTTGGGCTCCTTTTGTGTGGCCAGGTCGGCCAGCCAGTGAAGGGCTGAGGAACTGCCCTTGCCATCTTTAGTGGCTGGTGTCTGGGCAGGAGCAGGGCTAGGAGTGCTGCTGTTTGTCCCACTGGAGCCTGACGTAGTGTCAGCAATGCCCGCCTCTTCAACAGGCTCTGTTTTGACTGCTACACCCGCTGCTGGTTCCCCGTTCGGACGGGTTGTGGCTGAAGTGGAAGTGGCTCCATTCCCCACACTGTTAGCTGCACCCGACTGCACCAAACATGAGACGCAAGATTAAAAAACACCTAAGAGCATTACAGATGTAATTGACTTTCAATCCAAATGTTTTGGAGATATCTTGCCTGTGAAAGGCCATTTGGAGCACTGGGCCGCACCAAAGGTTTGTTATGTCGACTAGTGCAGGGACAGTTCGCTTTGATCCCCCATTTACCTCTGGCTGCGTGTACCATGTCACCTATGCTGTACAAGGCTAAAGGGATACAAGGAGACAATAAAACTGAGCACCAGTTACTGTGATTTCATATATTTTTAATAGGGATAAAAGCACTAACCTGTTCCAGGTATAATTTGAGTGGGCATGAGGTTCTGTGGTTCGTGTGGCTGGCCTTTAGCACACTTCAGCCATGAGAACACCTCTTCTTCTGGACTCTCGTCTAGTGTAAGAGCAGAAGTGAGAGTCTGAGACATGCTGTAATGAATGTACATGATACAAGACAGTGCTCTTGTATCAAATAGGAGGATAGCTTCATGAATGTGGCAGATCCTTTGTCATATCTACCTTCAGGTGGCCTGTTCTTGCGTAGCCGGTAGCAGTCGAGACAAACGCCGAAACCGCATTTGCGACACACCCAGTGGATGTTGAACAGCGTTGTTTCACACACGTCGCACATTTCTCTCACTCCCCTCACAGCTCGCTTCCATGCCACTTTTTCTGCAAAATCACAGAGATTTTATACAAGTCCTTATTATAATTTTAAAATAGTCACTAGCTTTTTAGCATTTTAGTTTACATTTATAATACAAAAAAAGTTTTTTTTTTCTCTATTTAATAAAACTTTTTTTTTACTGCAAGCTTTTGTTTTTTAGTAGTAGTTTTAAAAATAATAACCTTGCTTTATATTAGTCCTGAAGTGTTCACACTAAAATAAGTAACACTGAGGTCCTGAAAGGTACTATATACAGTGGGGCAAAAAAGTATTTAGTCAGCCACCAATTGTGCAAGTTCTCCCACTTAAAAAGATGAGAGAGGCCTGTAATTTTCATCATAGGTATACCTCATCTATGAGAGACAAAATGAGAAAAAAAAAATCCAGAAAATCACATTGTAGGATTTTTAAAGAATTAATTGGTAAATTCCTCGGTAAAATAAGTATTTGGTCACCTACAAACAAGCAAGATTTCTGGCTCTCACAGACCTGTAACTTCTTCTTTAAGAGGCTCCTATTATTATAATTATTACTGTTTAATATAAGATTTTCATACATTCCTTACTGATAAGATAACATATGCACCAGAGTTTTCCCCTTTCCATTGAGCTTCATTCATAAAACATGAGTAGAATGTGAAATTCATTGAAAAAGCATTCATTTTAATGTGGCATTTCACCTGAATTTCTATGAATTATTCACTCAAAATTATTCTGCTTACATTTCATGAACGAGGCCTTTAATATTACATACACTGATTATGGAAGCTACATCCATTTAGCTACTAAGCAATTCATTCAGGTGTCCGTATGTTTTCAAGATGTTATATATTACAGAAATTGATATAAATTATATAAAATTAGACAAAAATATTTTTTTTGTCTAAAAACCTAATTAAAATATGCTAAAACATCCAGAAATGTTTCATTTAATTTGCCACCTTTTTTCTTTGAAAAAAAAAAAAAAAACAGGGTTCCAACAGTCTTGGGAAAGTCATGAAAAATGTATAAAAACATAAAACTCCATGTTCATTTTTATAAAGAATATACACAGTAATGTTAAGCTCTAAAACATTTCATGTGGTAGAAATCTTCTTTAAAATGTGAAAAAAATATATATATTAGAAGAGTCAGGTAAATTTGTTTAAAAAACAATAAAAAAAAGAGGGAAACTTGAACATTCAGCTCTTAAAAACTACTAGAATACTTTATTAACTGAAAACTATTTTAGCTGCTATTTTACTTTAAGTTTACAGAAATTAAGAGTGTCCATAAAACTAGATGGACTGGTGAAAATAGTGCATGTAAAATTTGGCATTACGTGATACTTTCTTAGAATTTATTCAGATTATAAATGATTTTGTGTGAACGAGCTGTAATCAGTTTTGATAAACAAAGAGTTACTTACGATGGGGCTCTATCATCATCATGGCCTCTTTCTCTGACATGACCAGTTGGCAAAACTGGTCACCCACGTTTGCTAAAATATATTTGGACGTGTCCAGGTCAAGTCCTTCGTGTACCGTGAGGGAGGGGAGCCAAAGCCCCATTGCCATGCTGTCACTCTGCTGCGGGCTCAGAAAGCCTTCCACGCGAAGGACTCCCTTCTTAGTGAAAGCCAGCCTGTTACAACACAAGTCAAGGTGTCAGTCTCATACCCTAGCCAAGAGTTAAGCTAGTCATACCTGTAGTTGTCTGAATCGTATTCACCTGCGGAAGTGGAAGAATCGGCAGGAAACGTTTGGGTCGTCATCGTCCTCGTCCTCGCGGGATTTCCTGTAGCGCTCCAGACGGCACTCGCGGCATTTGTGCAGGTGGGGCGCCACGTTAATGCAGGAGCCGTCTTGCAGAAAGGACTCTCCGGACTGCTTCAAGCGCCGAACCTTATTCTGGTCCTTCAACACGGACTGCCCCGCTACATAAATCACACACAAACCCAAAATCAGATGATTGTGAACATCGACTGATTTATCATATCGGTAGACTAGTGGTTAATGGCACTGCTGATACTTAGAGCAGGTGGACAGAACTTTTAAACAAAGACAGTAAACTAATGAAAAGAGTGCTGCAGGAATGACACATTTTTGTAGGCCAAACCTTGAAAAACTGTCTGTGACTTCTCTTATAAAACAGCATTTTTGGTGTAATGTTTAATGGCAAACATGTTGAAAATCAGTCGATGAGATGTTGATTCATTAAATGCCAAATGCTAACCTTGGAGGCTTGCCTTAAAGTGGTTTTGGTTGCTAGCAAGTGGCTAAATGGGATCGAAGAGGTTGCTGGGGACAATAAACGTCATCATAACGAACAGGTAAACCTCATCTACTCTTTATAATCGAGCTCTTACAAACTATTCTATCTCGAACTTTCAGGGAAAATGTTGAAATGAAGAACGCTTAATGGCGGTAACGCTGAAGTCATGTGACCATGGTGTAGTTCGCTAAAGGCCCCCGATATACTTCAAACGAAATCGAAGAACGAACTGATATGACGTCATTTCCGCAGTTCGAAACAGCTCACCAAAGCGAACTTTCTGGGGTTCATTTTGGTTCCTAAACATCTTTGAGCTTCCATTGGTCCATGGCGATTACGCAATCGGTGGGTGTGTTCTGGAACTCCACCTTCTTTGACGTGCAATTTTTTTTCACGGTTCGTTTCTCATTCAGCGGAGGTCAGGCAGGAGAACAACGTCTCCAAGTCACTAGCAACATGTGTCGAATAGCTGAGCTGGCACAAATATACCCGCACCTGTACGATCGCTCGCGGAGAGACTTTAAAGATTCAGAGAAAGCATTTAATTCCTGGAAAGAAATTGCAACGAAGCTTGGTGCCGACAACCCGGAGTTACAAAAAAAGTGACGTAGAGAAACATCAGATGCAAGTTCTCCAAAGCCATGAAAAGAAAGAGTATCGGTATAAGGTAGCAAGTACCAAATACATGTGTTTCAAATAAATGTTACACCATACTGCTGCTGCTGCTGTTGTTGTTGTTGTTCTTTCAATAAGCGAATTTAAAAGGTATACAATAAATGAAATGCCAAAAGAACATACAATAATAAACCTTTGTTTTTATCAAATCATGACACCACATAAAATATAAAAAGGTGTAATTTATCCAGTTTAATAAAATAAATGAACACTAATAAAATAAAGTAACAAACAGGTTTGTGCTATTGAGATGACTCCAATATTTTTTCCACATCATGCTAAAGTTTTCAGACTATGAGCCATTTACACATTCAAAGACTGATATTGCAAACATGATACTTGACTCTGAACTGCTGCTAATTATTATTCTTTTGTCTATAATATTCTGACCATTGGTACCAGTCTCACACCTAAATACACCATTGCATCTTTATTGTGTTTAGGGCATATGCACGAGTGTCGCGACACATGTTTACATTAATCTACACCCCGCCTCCTGCAGAGCAGGGGTGTTGGAATGTTCGAAAACAGTATACCGTCGCTCAGCCTTTTCGAACTTCTTTTTGTCCCCAAACGAATAACGAAAACGAACTTCGTTTGAAGTATATCTGGGGCCTTAATAGTGTACCTATAGTTTTTTTACTTCTGGTGACTGTATTTAGACTTAAAAATTTGTCGGTTCAGTTTCACTTTAATTTAACAACAACAACAACAACAACAACAAGTTCCAAACATATTTCTAAATTAAAAAAAAAAAAAAAATTGGTCAAGAACATAACCATTTTGTCATTAAAAACAAAACAGAACTATTTTAATGACTGCAACAGCAGCCGTGTAATGGGGAAGAGAGAGAGAGGAAAAAAAAAAAAAAAAGACACAGGCTCTAGTCGGACTTGGGCCGAGAATTCTGATAAGCTGTCAGACAAGGGCCGGGCTAGGACACGAGCTTTTGGGTCAGGGCCAGGCTAGGACACAAGCGTTTTGGGTCAGGGCCGGGCTAGGACACGAGCGTTTTGGGTCAGGGCCGGGCTAGGACACGAGCGTTTTGGGTCAGGGCCGGGGCTTGGACACGAGCGTTTTGGGTCAGGGCCGGGCTAGGAAATTAGCTTTTGGGTCAGGGCCGGGCTAGGACACGAGCGTTTTGGGTCAGGGCCAGTCCGACAGCTTATCAGAATTTTCGGCCCAAGTCTGACTGGAGCCCGTGTCTTTGTTGGGTCAGTTGTCCAAATCAACTTCTGCTAGTTTAATGACGGGAAAAACGGTCGGCGTGCCCGGTGCATGGTCTAAAAGGGTTGTCCCTATTCTCTTAATGAGTGATGGGTGTGTTTTGGGCATAAAGTGCAATAAACCAATCAAAGAGTCTCATCTCCTATTCCCTTTAAGAGCCAGTTGTGCTCGTGCCATGGCGGATTTGCTATTTAAACAGCGGAATTTGCAAGCCCAAAGACAGAACGCGTCTCCAGAGAGGAAACGGAGCTGCTTGTGCGCGAGCAAATAGGTAGCCTAATTCTGATACATGCAATGACTATACATTATGACATGTAGGCATTTTTATATTTATGTAGCCTACACAATAATAATATTTTACATTGCAATCCTTTAATTTTTTATATTTGGCATGTTTGTGTGCTGCGTCCCTGTGTGTGTAATAAGCAGAGTGTACGCGCGCTGTGGACCCGCCTATACTAACTCATTCTTAATATATATATATATATATATATATATATATATATATAAAATATTAATAAAATAATAACATTTTTGACAGTAGTAATATTCCAAAGAAACTTGTAAATTTGTAAAGAAACTTACACCGGAAAATGCATAAAAAAATTCAATGGAGTTTGGGTGTCACCCGGTGACTATTTTTGGTAGAGCGTCTAAATAAAATCTTTAAAGTTTTATAAAGTTTTTTTTTTTTTTATTGGGAACATAACTTATTTAGACATATGACTTTAATTTTACAGCGCATTTAGATTAAAGGACATTGTCAAATATTTATTTTATATAAAATACATAATTTTGGAAAAATTGAACTTCTATATCTTACTTGTACTTTCATTTTTGTAAATGTTTTTTTTTCCTTTTGAAATGGTGAAAAGAAAAATTCTGGATTCAGTATAAAGAAACTCATACAGGTTTAGACTGACATGAGGGTGAGTACTAACTCAGCTGAACTAACTGATGAAGTACACAGCATGCAGTTGTCAAGCAGTTACCTTTGAAGGGTTTGCTCCGCGGCCGGCTCTTAGCCGCAGGCTGGGTCTTGTTCTTATCCTCACCAGCTGCAGGAACCCCAGGTTTCTGGCTCTGGCCTGAGTTGTCCTCTGCCTCGCTCAAATCAGACAGGTCACTGTTGCTACTGGACTCTGAATCCCTTTTAGTGGACTGACTGCGTTCCTCCAAAGAAAACTTGGTTTGGTCGAAAAGCGTAGCGACACCTAGGCCTTCGGTGCTGACGCGGATTCCCGGGCTGCCGTCTGAACCTTCTTTGTTTGGTTTGGACGTCTGTTGTCCATCCTGGGCAGCCGGAGTGAATGATGGAGTGGTCGTGAGAGCAGGAGCAGCGAATTGGGGGGCTAAGATTCCCTTAGGAGGTTCTGCCATGGTGAACAGGTTTGGTTTGGCATCTCCACCAGGAGGATCTTGACTAAGTAGACCGGAGCTGCCCGAAGGTGAAACAGCAGATGCGGACAGCGCAGATGACGACTTTGGGGTTGACAATGCACTAAAAGGGCTGTGCGAAACAGCTCCGCCGTAAGCGAGAAATGGATTTGTTTCCTTGGTGGCCTGTAGAAAAAGGTTCTCGTGAGTTTCTGAAACCTTGTTGCCAGCAAGCAGACCAAAACCGCTGACTGGACTCGAGCTGTTAACATTTCTGGCATTGCCAAGGCCACTGGTTCCTAATCCCAAAGAGGGTTTCAGAGCCTCTACAGAACTCGCAGCTTGACCTACGGCTGAGGGAAACGTGGCTGGGAGTTTGCTGTGCACCTCCCCCACCGCTCCGAAAGGCTTGTTCATTAGGATCCCATTGCCTGCAGGCTTGATATCAGGCACTTTTGGCTGCTCTTTCATTGGTGCCAGGCCACTAGCAGGTGCTGAACCAAACAGTCCAGCGGATGCAGAAGCCACAACTGCCTTTCTTAAACCCTCGGAGGGAGCAGCAGGCTTGAACAGGCTGGGCGGCTCCTTGTTCAGGCACTTGGACAAGGACGTGAAGGCCTTTGACTGGCCTTGTGTGATGCTCTGGTTCTGAGACATGATTTGGAAGAACAGGTTCTGTGAGGGATCAGAGTCTTGCCTCTGCGACTCCTTCGCAGCTCCAAAAGGAAAGCCAAAAGGCTTGTCCTCCTGGGAAGAACCGTTGGCCTGTGTGGGAACATCCCCAAACACTGCCTCACTCGACTGTTTACCAAATCCTGCAGCAGCTAGAGCGGGGGTCTTGGGGCCCTGAAATACAAATAAGCCAAATAAATGACGGTCAAAGAGTAATAAGTGTGCCCACAAAAAGGGAGGGGAAAAAAAGGTTAAAATCAGTGCTGTTATTATTATCTAAAACTTTTAAAATTTGTTTTTGTGAAATGAAATAAATCTGTAATAAAATAAAATATAAGTATTAGATGAAAAAACTTAAAAAAATTAGAAACTATGCACTGGTAATAGGGATGCACAATATTGGATTTTTGCCGATATATCCGATATGCCGATATTTATCAACTCATTTTGGCCGATAGCCGATGCCTATATATTTCCTTTTGTTTGGAAACAACACCAAGTCTCTCCTGTGCAGAAATTATAAACAAAATATTTTTAATTTTGGTTAGTTCTTAATAAAAACTTGTTAGAATTAAATAAACAATAATGAAGCTTTTTTTTATAATGACACTACATTGAAAGCTTTGAAAATAATTATAAATCAACTACTGTATATCTCAATCGCTGCATTTTTTTTTCAGAAAGATGCAGTGCTAAACTTAAAATATTAGTAGATGGTCCAAGATAAAAGAGTTGTATAAATTCTGATAAAAATTATTTTAGAGCTCATAATTCATAAAAAAAAACATTACACATTAATGAATAAATCTGCATATATAAAATTATTTAAATTTACAAGTGTCATGATTGTGATTTTTTTTATTCATGTAAGATAGCTTCTGACCTTTAAATCAAAACACACTCGTGATTTTATGACATTGATACTGCTTTATTTATTCAGAAACAAGCTTCTTAGTGATGTGTGTACTTCACTTTCATTTTGTTACAAGTAGGCCAACAGTGCCCCCCTAAGTAAATATAACTCCTAACAAAATGGGCATTAGGACCAGGGGGAGGCTGCCATTGCACGGCTAGTGACTGTTGACTCTCGCAAACCGAACGCATCATCTTGTATGTGCATTCTCAAATTAAATGCAGCAATCCAAAACAGTGAATCTAATCATCATTCAGGCAAAAGTTTGCTTCAAAAATGACCACACTGCTGACGTGACCTAATCACTAGCACACCCTGAGCGCGTGCGAGTTAATCCTCTTATCGGCAAGACATATCTGCATCATTTTTAATATCGGGCCGATGCCGATATTTGCATTTTAAGCCGTTATTGGCCGATTCCAATATCGGTCCGATAATATTGTCCATATCTAATTGGTAACTAACTGGAATAAAATAAGATGAAGCACTAAAATTACTAATACTGATATGAAAATAAATAGAATATGAAATGGCTCAAAAGAAAATGAAATGGCTAAAAAAAAATATTAAATGACAAACCACATAAAATTACTCAAACAAATTAAAATAAAACCAAAAATAATAATAAAAATAAAATAATAAAAAAATAAAAGCTAATTCAAAATAATAAGCATTATAAAAATATATAAATAATATTAAAATAACACTGATTAAAAACTAACAAAATTATTTATATTCATGTAAATTTTGGGGTTTCATGTGAATTTTTTTTTATTTAAATCATGTTATCACAGTACTATACTTTCGAGGAGACAATTTTTTACATGACTTCGATTTTTTTTCTAAATGTTAATGTTATTTAACAAAACTGCTTCACAGTTTTTCTTTTCTTATGAAACAATAAATCATTAAACATTTTTTGTTTTTTAATTAAAGACTTTTTAAAATTATTCTTAACAATTTAGATAAAGAAACACATTCACTATTAACAAGGAGTTTTTCCTTAATAAGCTCCTAATTTGCTGTTTATTAATAGTTAGTAAGGTAGGTGTTAAGTTTGGGTATGGAGTAGGATTAAGGGATCTAGAATATGGTCATGCAGAATAAAGCATTAATATGTGCTTAATAGTGCAGTAATAGTGAGAAATTATCATTAAAATAGAGTTTTACCAAATTATGTAATAATGCTTTTTTTTTATTTATTTTTTTTTACTTTATTTCCACCCACATTTTTTAAAACAAGAATGTTTTAAATTTCAGAATCAAAACTCATCTCAGAAGTGGTGTTTTTTATTTGTATGTATGAATTGCAAAGTCCAAAGTAAAAAAAAAAAATCAGTGTCCTACCTGGCTTGCTTCTGGAGCTGATCCCCACATACTGGGCTTTTGGTTTGCTTCTACAGGAGCAGAGAGAGTCACACTTGAAGCGTTGTCTTGGGAAGGTGATGAAATGGTCACAGGACCTGGAGACACCAGGGCAGCTGTTTTAGGATACCCTGAAAGGACACCTCCCTCCTCCCTCTCGGCTGCTGGGAGTGTGGGAGACGATTTAGGGGCAGGGGCCCCGGGCACCAAGCTGGGCATTTGACCCAAAGAAGGAAAAGTGTTGGAAAAGGGCGATGGGGCAGGCTTCAATGGAGGTGGTGTTGGAGTGGACGCAGGAAGCACCGCTGATACTGAAGACGATATCCTTTCTTGGTTCGGGACAAAACTGCCATTCTCCTTGACAAAACCTGTGCTCCTTATGTGGGAGTGCTCCTGCTGAGAGGAATTGCTGTTGTTAGAAGAGTCTTGACTTGGCAAAGCTACTGGACTACAAGTGCTCGTCACCCTCCCACCTACGCCACCCCCTCCGTCTCTTCCCTCCACTACTCCCTCTCCCGGCATCTCTACGCATGTTACCATAGCCTCAGCATCGTTGTTGGAGCCATTGGCATTCTGGCCGTCAGAGGCGCCCTCTCCGGCTCCTTTAAAACGTTTCAGAGTAATGTCTTCATCTCCTTCCGATGCTGTCCTGCGCCGCCGGCTGCCCTCACCTTTCCCACCGTCGCTCACTTTCTTGCGTCGATCTGGGCTCTGTGACATGGCAAAATGACCCAGGCACATCATCAATTACCAGACTTAAATTAGACAATTTATGATTTAACAACACTAGGAGACAGAAACCCAATGCACCTCTTCTAATTGTTCCACAGCAAGCATCACATGAATAACCCGAGGATCGACGACTTGTGTCTCTTCACCCTGAAACAAACCATGATTGACACACTGAAGTCAGCTTTTATTATCTCTAACCCATGAATCAGATGAACAGCAACATTGATTCGATTCTAAAGAGACAAGAGTACTGACTTTCACACGGACCTGGTCCATGGTAATCTCCATAATGTGTGAAACAGGATCATGCTGAGATACGAGTCCCAGGGCCCAGGGCTCCTCAAACTCCGGCTGGTACACCTGCACTCTCCGACCCTGAATAGTGTAAGATCCTGTCCAAGATATGAAAGAAGTACAGCTTAGATTATCAGCTTGTCAGTTAAATAATAAAATACTAAAGATTCAAGTAAACAGGGAGACCCCCCCCCCCCCTTTTGTATGTTTGACCCACATATTTTTATGTTCAAAATTAGCTGTACAGACACAATAAAAAAAAAAAAAAACATTTCTGTCATGACTGCTTGTACATTGAGGTGCAAATTAACCACAAGTAGTACATATACATAAGGTATCCCTGTGATGGGATACTTATAAATAAAATGTGTTTCTCACACTTCTTTTCATTGCTGCAAAAGCCTAGTAATTGAGATAAAAAAAAAAAAACTAACAACCAAAAATATAATTTCACACACTTTTCAACCTTTCAACTTAACTTGAAAAATAAACAGTTTAGAAGACGGGATTCAATTTCGAGTAAACTTGAAATAAAAAGTAAAAAGAAAACGGAGTCTTAAATTTAAATGAAAGTTTAAATGCATTTCATATGTCACGTGTTTGACAAGCTACAATAAAGGCTTTCTGTTGTTTTTTTACCCTAACTCTTTAGTGTTTTTATAGTGCTGATTTTTGGCAAATTGCATGGAAACCGATGGGGATCTCAACATAAAAGTCATAATTTATGTAAAGCCTTTGCAAAACACATCTATGTGTCGAATCTTTGAATGCACATTAATGACCCTAAATGGGAAATATTCACAAAAAATGAATGAATAAATAAATAGTTTAACGAATATTTCAAGCTGTTAGAAAACCAAGTCTGGGTCAAATGGAGGACAACAGGAGGATTAAAAGCATAGTACACACAAAAAGTAAAACTTGCAGTTCATTTACTCACCCTCAGGCCATCCAAGATAGGGATGTAACGGTATGAGAATTTCATATCACGATTATAGTGACCAAAGTTATCACGGTTATCAATATTATCACGGTTTTGTTCAAATCAGATGAAAACGTTCAAAAAGAACTGATACACACACTGAAAACATTTCAATAAGTTTTATATTTGAAAATCAACAAACAACTAATACAATTAGCAGCTATATGCAATTTTTTTAAGCATAAAAATTAAATGAACATTAACATGAAGCCCTAATAATAATAATAATAACACGGTTTTGATGATAATTAAATTTTAAACGGTAATACTAACCGTCAGTGCATTTTATCGTGAAACCGGTAATCGTTCCATCCCTAATCCAAGATATAAGTGACTTTTATTCTTCAGTAAGTAGGTAATGTTGTAAACTGGAGTCACAACAGTTCCCTGTTTTTGACTCTCAAAGTGATACATTTTATGAACCACCAATGACCACAGTTTCAGCTAAAAATCTTCTGCATTGTATTACTGAAGAAAAAAGTCACTTAGATCTTGGATGGCCTGAGGGTGAGCAAGTTTTCCTTTTTGGGTAAAATAAAAAAAATCCTTTAATATCTTGTACGACTTCCTTTCAGGCTTTGCACAGGTAAGTTTACTCAAGCACATTAGAGTCTATTAATAGTTAAAAGCGACTGACGTTTCCGCAGGATCTCCTGCAACTCAGAGTCACTGTGCCAGCTCCTGATGGCAGCTTGAAGGGCCAGCTGCTCTTGTAGCAAAGAGTGTCCAAAATCTTTTTCAGTCTGAAGAAAGAAAGATCATTCCTTATCTTTATTTATTAAAGATATTTCACCTATTTCAATTTGAACCTTTCACAGTGAAAAAGTTCTGGTTTTGTACATGCAAAAATATGACAACGCAGATTTTAATGACAGTTACCAACCTCAAAAGTGTGCAGTGAACTCCCATTAGGGAGAAATGCCAAAGTTCTTGCACCAAAGAACTCCACAGGAACCAAGGATCCCAAACCCACATGGTCAACCAGCGGTTTGAACATCTGAAGTTTGAGCCAAAAGACAAATGGCTTTCAGGAAACCAGTATTGGATGCACAAACGAGTGAATATAAACCAGAAAACACTATATATTGCCTCTTAGAGATCCAATCTAAAGACAATTTCCAAAAGCTTTTGCTAACCATAACTACAAAGCATGAACATGCCAGACATATGTAGATGTAGAGCAATACATCTCAACCCATATTAAGAGTCGATTTACAGAAGAATTATGGAAAGCGGTGCAGTGTGCATCTGTACTCACCAAGGCTGGCCACTGAGCAGCGGAGAGCGATGGGTCGCTGCAGTTGGCCCAGACGATGGCACTCTCCATGAGAACGGCTCGCACCTCGTCCCCGTACACCTGCACCCATGAGCGCTGCCGCCAAGGGCTGTCGTCAAACTCTACAAACACCTACAAAGAAGACGGACGGTTGACAACTTAAGACAAGTGAAATGCTGCTCTCTACAAGCACACTTCAAAGTTTTGTATGAGCCATCTGTTGCAAATGGATATTACGGTAATTAGCATAACAACACCAAACTTTTTTGTCTTATGTACCCCAAACCGCCCCATCATAAGGCTCAAACCAGAAAAATACTCCTTTTAACTCAAATTTCAACACTGTTTTTAATATTTTTTAAATATCTATTATTAAAACACAGACTCACCAAGACTTCTCTCAAAAATAAAGTAGTATTTAAGAAATCAGTTTATATTACCATTCAAAAGTTTGGGTTCAGCAAGATTTTTTAAATGTTTTGAAAGAAGTCTCTCATGATTGCCAAAGCTACATTTATTTGATCAAAATACAGTATCAACAATAATATTGTGAAAAAATTACTACAATAAAAAAAAATAAAACCTATTTTCAATTTGAATATAATTGAATGCAAAGCATCATCATTACTTTAGTCTTCAGTGTCACATGATCCTTCAGAAATCATTCTGATATGCTGCTTTGCTGCTCAAGAAACATCATCACCAATGTTAATAAAATGTTTGTGCTGAATAATATTTTTTTCTAGAATGATTTAATAAATGCTGTTGTTTTGAACATTCTATTCATCTGAAATGGAAATATTTGTAACATTATACATGTTGTGACTGTAACTTTTGATCAATGCAATGCATTCTTGCTAAAAAAAAGTAAAATTATCCAATCTTTTGAACCATAGTGTACACACATTTCACCAAAAGTGTCAGCCACACAAATAAGTAACAACAGACAGACTACTTCATTCCTATCAGATCACAAACCAATGGTTAAAATTAAAATTAGATCACACCAATATACAACATAAAGCCTGCATGTGCATATATGTATATACATATACTTATCTAACGCAAGCCATACACTTCATATAGGCTTACTAAATGTCTGCTGTATTTCATTGGTTCTAGTACTCTATACACTGACCATAAAATTAACCTAATTTAATTTAATCCACGAATAATAACTGATAATAAAAATCACCATAAAAGAATCAACAAAAAGATGATTAATGAAGTTTGTCTGTGTAAATATGAACACCAGCACATATTTTCTATGCATTTACAGTGCCTTGCGAAAGTATTCATACCCCTTCCTTTTTTTCATGTTTTGTTATGTTGCTGCCTTATGTTAAAATTTAAAACTAAACATCAGTCAACACTCCATACACCATATTGACAAAAGCAAAAACAGAATTGTCACAACTTTGTGAATTTATTAAAAATAAAAAACTGAAATAAGTACATTGCATTAGTATCCATACCCTTAAAGGGGTCATATGATGCGATTTCAAGTTTTCCTTTCTCTTTGGAGTGTTACAAGCTGATTGTGCATAGATAAGATCCCTGAAGTTGCAAAGACTGAAGTCTCAAAACCAAAGAGATATTCTTTATCAAAGTTAAGCGACAAGCATTGCACATAAGCATTTGGCAATTATCTGTCATTCTTCTCCTCGCCTCTTCACCTCTCAAGCTCTGTCAGGTTGGATGGGGGCAGACACACATTTTCAGGTTTCTCCAGAAATATTTGATTGGGTTCAATCCCAGGCTATGGCTGGGTCACTCAAGGACATTCACAGAGTTGTCTATTAGCCACTCTTGCTGTGCTTAGATTCATTGTCCTGTTGGAAGGTAAACCTTCTGCTCAGTCTGAGGCTAAATGATCTGGACTGGGTTTTCATTAAGGCTATCTCAATATTTTGGTGCATTGAGCTTATCTTCTGCTCTGACGAGTCCCTCAGTCCCTGGCACTGAAAAAACAGCCCCACAGCATGAGGCTGCTACCAGCTCACTTTACTTTTGGGATGCTACTCTGCAGGTGATGAGCAGAGCTGCTTACCTTCAAACATTATGCTTGGAATTGAAGCTCATCAGACCAGAGAATCTTGTTTCTCAGAGTCTAAGGGTCCTTTAGGTGCTTTTTTTTGTGCAAATTCCAAGTGTGCTTTCATGTGTCTACACTGAAGAGAGTCTTGCCACAATGCCATAAAGCACAGATTGTAGGAGTGTTACAGTGATGTTTGTCCTTCTGTAGGTTTCTCCTGTCTCCACATATGAACATGGAGCTCAACTAGAGTGACCATCAGGTTCTTGGTCACCAGTCTAGACAAAGCCCTTCTCCATCAGTTGCTCAGTTTGGCCAGGAGGCCAGCACTAGGAAGAGTTCTAGTTGTTTCAAACGTCTTCCATTATAGATAATGAAGGCTACATGATTCTGTGAACCTTCAATGCAGCAGAGCTCTACATGCAGTTCTTTTGACCTCAGGGCTTGGTTTTTGCTCTGATATGCATTATCAGCTGTTAGACATTTAATTAAGACATGTGTGCCGTTCCAAATCATACCCATTCGATTGAATTTGCCACAGGTTAACTTCACTCGAAGTGTAGTAACATCTACAAGCAATATGAATGTGCCTGAGCTAAATTTGAACTGTCCCAGATAAGGGTATGAGTACTTATGCGATGGAATCATTTAAGTTTATTTTTAATAAATTAGCAAAGATGTGAAACAACAGTTTTTTTTGCCTTGCCATTATGGTGTATGGAGTGTAGATTGGTGTGGAAAGAAAGTAATATAAAACAGTTTAACATAAGGCAGCAACATAACAAAACGTGAAAAAAATGAAGGGGTATGAATACTTTCGCAAGGCACTGCATCCATTTACTCAGAATAGCAATACACCATTTATAAAGGCTCTCATTCCCCCATCATATAAAATGAATATTACACGCCATGAATAATGACCTTTCCCTTTGTATTCAAAGATAGTATGTTTAATTGATTTGATAGATGCATTTACTGTGTGGGACGGTTTTTAATCACAATGGGTCATTTACTAAGTCTACTGCAGTCTTAAACTAGTCAGCTGCCAGACTAGACAACATCAGTGACCCCAAAAAACACCGTCTGAGTAGTATATCTGCAGCTAGCCACTTAGCTAGCTAGCACCCAAACACACATTAGATGTTCACTTCACATCTCTTCCTCATTTCTCACGCAGCCTAGAGTCATAATTCAGCTTTTCACACTGACACTGCAGAATGCGTCAGCGCTTGTTCTCACGGGTCGGTATTGTTTTGACGGTGTGTTGTTGTTGTTGTGTCGGTCTCACCTCCATCCCCGGGCTCGCCAGCCCGATCACACTGACCGCCCGCACGGTTCCGCGGAGCCAGGCCGCCTGCTCCACCGCCGCCGCGGAGCTCCCGTCACCGAGCAGCAGCAGCAGCCGCTTCCCGATCAGACCGAGCGAGTCCCCCATATTACAACCACCATCAAGAGACCGACTTCCCCCGGAGCTCGGCTGAAATCCGCGATCAATCGTGCCCAAACTCAATCAGTGATATAGCCACATATGAATGACTGCACGCGATGCATGCGGGATTCGCATCGGCAAACTGAGACGATTAAGAAGCGCTTTGCTGGGTATGTGCGGTGTTATTGTTCGTGCTACAGCCCCTTGTCCTCATCCGCCATTTAACGGTGCAGTAATCAAACGCACCCCTCGTACTGCTGCGGGACTGCGCTCCGCTGGGTACCGGGGAAATGGAGCAGCGCCCTCCGCTGGACACTGTACGCGCCATTCACCGTCAACGCACTGCTCTGGAGGTCCCAAACTCTCGCGAGATTTGTATGAGTCGCGCAGCAACGAGACGAGGCGTCCGCGTTGCCAAGAATGGGCAGTTACACACTTACACCAGTTTCAAAATATGTTTTTTTATTAGGGAGAATATAAAGCTGTATTCGAATGGTACTAAATACATTCTAGAGCATTTCTGTAGATATGTTGCAGTATTTTTTATAATTAACATTTAAAAATAGATCACGTTTATTATGCTGTTGTTGTGCTGCTGGCCGTAGACAGAGAGAGAGAGAGAGAGAGAGCGAGGGAGAGAAGTAGACAGAGAGAGAGAGAGGGAGAGAGCGAGGGAGAGAGAGAGAGAGAGAGAGAGAGAGAGAGAGAGCGAGAGTTGAGACAACGGAAGTTCGGAACGCTTGATTGTCACGTGATTCGAGTAGTTCCAGGAAGTTCATGGCGGGCGATTGGAAAACATTGAGTTAGAGAGACAGAACTGCGATTTTTGGTAATTAGTAGACTATAAAGTAATTTACTACATACGTAGTATATATATATATATATATGTGTAGTTGTATCAGTGTTGTTTTTAAAATATTAAATCCGCTCATATTTGAGGCTATCCTTACCTGCCTTGTTAACATATTTTAGGCTGATGTTACCATGGTAAAAGTCCAAAAGTCCATGTTTGCTATATAAACGACATAGTGGTCTTTTACCAAGGTAACTCCGGCCTCTCTATATAAATATAA